ATTCAAGTCCTCACCATGGGGTACAGGACGCAGTGCAGATGGAATGTTTGGATATTCCACGGTCCACTTCTTCTTTCTTGAGCTCCCTTTTGCAATTGGGGGAACTATACAAAAATAGCAGTCACTACTATGATTGGTGGGTTCCCTCCACACCATTGGGACTGCAAAACGCATGGACTTTTTCTTCTTGTTTAGCCAATGACGCAGATAAGTTGCACATGTAATGCAACAATAATGAGGGGCCCAACTCTTGTCCTGATCCCCTATTTTGCATCCACGATATAGGTGCTATGCCTTTTTTACCACTGCCGTCATACTGCACTTTTGAGATGCAAATGTAACATCGCCACAAATGTAGCAGAAGTTATCTGCGTTGTTTACACACTTTCGAGGCATCTTCTGAGGGAAAATATCAGGCAACTGTTTCTTGGAAATGCTAGACAATGACACTTTCACAAGCCACCAGATGGAACTGTATGATGCGTAGATCTGACCAAGACAAATGTACCTTGCAGTAAAAGAACAATAAATTACAGTGAGGTAATAATCTTTAGTCTCAAAGTGAAGATAAATGTATACACTTCCATGTGGTACCATTTTCATTCTTCTACCCCACTTTGTCAAGAAGGTACGAGACATCTTGATCATCAGACACCTCTCTCCCTTGTAGGCAAATTTATTTGTCTGTGTATAAATCTTTATTGTGAAATATCTTGAAAACTTTAGCCAACCAACCAGCACCTTTATAGAAATAAACCAAACCTGCTAGAAGCCAGTCTAAAGACTTTTGTCTTGCGAGGGTTGTAAAGTACTTTAAAAAACGTACGATCTGCCCATCTTGGACAGGCAGATCGTACTTGCGAACATCGCAAGCCCGCCCCCCTGAGGGGCGGGCTTACGATGACTGTAATGAGGGGGGTGCGTACGATGACTGCAAACGGGCTGTGTGCGCGTGCGCACACCGGCCCGTTCGACAGTTGGTGAACCAGCAGGCCACTAACTCGCCGAGAATCGTACGATTCCCGTCGGGTTTTCTAGCATGCTGGTTCGACGGAGGATGTGCGACCGTACAGTAATAACGGTCGCACACCTTCCATACACTGCTCGAGGTATTTCCCGCGATTCTTGTATGAGAATCGTGCAGTGTATGGGCACCTTTAGGAATATTTTTTTTAGTGGCTTGAGTAAGCACCAATACACGTACTACTGTCTTTAGGGGCCCAGACGGCCGCACAATAAGTGCTACAGAGCCACATGCTGCCCCCAAGGCTGTAGTCTGGGCACCAGGGATTTAAAAAAGCATAGATTTAAACAGCACAGACTACAAGAGAATGTTATGCAGTATCAGGCAACTGATACACTGGTCAGAAAGCTGCCCTGGGCAGCCTCTTGTTTTGCGACGTGGAAAATTTGCTGTTCATGATAACAGAGAACTGCAGACAGCCGGAAACTTCAACCAATAAACCAAGTCCACAGCATACAAGAGCATATAAATAGCACAGGGTGCAACAGACTGTTATGTAGTGTTTACCTACCTGGACACTGGCGATTTCCAGTTTACCTGTGCTGCAAATGCTGTGCATTATATTAGTGTGAAATTTATTTCCATTTTTGCAGTCAGATTTGAGAAAACACACACAGCATACCAAAAAAGATTTTGTAAAAAAATATTTCTTACCTTTTAGACGTCTCTTTGGTGTTGGACTTTCTGCACATTCATATTCTGGGTAGTTTGAAAGTGAGAGTAAAGAAACAAATGAGCGACAGACGTAACTTCCCCTCATTCATTTACAATGCTTCTAAATCTTTAACCCTTTATTAGGACAGACAAAGTTCAAATCTAGTTTCCAACTGATAATTAAATCTAGCCAGCACAGTACAGACAGGGTTAATTAGAGTAAACAACTTTCCACAGCCCCCTCCTTAACATTACATAGGGGGGGGGGGGGGGGGGGGATAGGCCGGGTTCAGACTTAGGCGGCACCGTTTTTGCACGTCTGTACACTCATGAGCAGCATGCGTTTTTTTGGTGTTTATGTGCGTTGTGCACATTTTGATGCACCTTTTTTACGTGCATACCTAAAGACGCGTGTTTTGACTGGCAGCGTTTAAACGTGCAAAAACGCTCACGAAAATGTGCAACATGCTTCTGTTGTGCGTTTTTTGGGCATTTCCATTAAAGTCTATGGGGCAAAGATACCCTTTTAACTGCCCAAAGAAGCTCATGTACCTTTTCAGGCGTTTGGCGTTTTTCTGCTCAGGTGTGAACAAGGGCCATTGAAAATCATGGGATTTGTTGGGCATTTAAAAGCACGTTTCTAACTGCTCAAACACTCCTAGGTGTGAACCAGGGCTTAAGAGAGAACTATGGGGTAAGTGTTTTTCCCCATAGTTCTCTTAAGGGTCAGAGGTGGACATATACTAGCGTCCTCCCATGACCCAAAGCTCAGTATATAGTGAGCTAGAGCCTGTGGTATACTGAGACTGCCACAGCCAGGATGGATCCTGACAATGCTGTCGAGATCCACCCAGCTGTGTGAGTGACAGCTGGCTCTGCCTATCTAGAGGCAGAGCCAGCTGTACCCGCCCCCTCCCGGTCTGTTCCTTCACTCAGTGCTGGAGGATCGGCACGGGGAGGGGGGAATTCCTGCAGGGAGCAGTGACTGGCAGTCACTGCTCTCTGCAGGGATATGACTGGGAAGTGAGCAAGCGGCGTTCAGTTTGATTGTCACACGTCGGCTCGAACTATGAGTATAGGTACCCATACACTGCACGATTCTCGTACGAGCAGTGTATGGAAGGCGTGCGACCGTTTCTACTGTACGGTCGCACGTCTTCCGTTGAACCAGCATGCTAGAAAACCCGCCAAGAATCGTACGATTCTCGGCGAGTTAGTGGCCTGCTGGTTCGACAACTGCCGAACAGGCCGCGCACACTGCCCGTTTGCAGTCATCGTAAGCCCGCCCCTCATTACAGTCATCGTAAGCCCGCCCCTCAGGGGGGCGGGCTTTCGATGATCGCAAGTGCGATCTGCCTGTCCAAGATGGGCAGATCGTACGTTTTTTTAAGTACTTTACAACCCTCACAAGACAAAAGTCTTGCGAGGGTTGTAAAGTGTATGGGCACCGTATGAGTGATTTTCACTCACCTCATAGTTCTCCTTTAAAGAGGAACTCCGGTTATTTTAAAAAGTAACCCCTGAACTGGGACCACGCCTGCACTGCAAGGGTTAACTGCTCATTTTGGTCTAAGGGCCAGAATACAGAAGATATACTCACCTGATCCTCGGTCCCACGAAGGTGAGCGCTCACTTCTTTTCCTCTCCGCACCAGCTGTGGTACGTCTCTCGGCATTCTCACAGTTAATGCAGGTGAATGGACCGTATTAGACGTGATTAAGTTAGACGAGCTTAGACGGCCACAGCAGAGCCCATCTAGAAGCCAGAAGGGACTGAGGATCAGGGAAGTATATTTTTTGTTATCTGAACCCCTAAACCAAAATGAGCAGTTAACCCTTGCAGTGCTGGGGTAGCCCCACTGCAAGGGTTAGTTTTATAAAATCCTGGAGTTCCCCTTTAAAATCTTCCATAGACTTATACACTGTATATATAACAGTCAATGAAATCATTAAAACTTCCAAATCCTTCAATTAGGAATGCACATAGACTGCCTCCTTGTTATACAGCATGCAATATCCCGTTTAATGAGAGTGAGGGGGTAATTAGGCTGCAAAATGGGTCAACAATCCTCCTAATAGTCTTCTGTATGTAGATCAGATTTGAGTTATATTTTTACATGGCGTGTAACTGCAAGTTAACCCTTTATAGTGACCTGCAGAAAACATGCAGCAAGAGTGCCTAATACACATATTAGTGTATCAGAAAACACAACTCTGTTATATTTCTGCATTTACCCTAAGCAAAGGGATTAAAAACAAAAGGGTTAGAGCCCCTGTCAGTTCATCTTTTGATTTCCGTGTTCCATGGGGAGATTTTCCTTTATCCTGGAAATGCATCAGGAAGTGAGTAAAAATCTCTAAAAGTGGGAGGAATTCCTCTTTTGGACAGTTGTCACTAGAATAGTTCACATAGGAAGATTTACCACAACCTCTTGATCTGGTGACAACTGTAATTTTCTTATTAACCGTCCAGCATGTCTTTAGAGTGTGGGAGGAAACCCATGCCAGCACAGGGAGAGTATGTAAACTCCTTGCAGGTAGTGTTCTGATTGGGATGTGAACTGGAGCCCTCCAGTGCTGCGAGGCAGAAGTGCTAACCACTACACCACTCTGCAGTCTCTCAGCAGTCTCTCAGCAGTCTCTCAGCAGTCTCTCAGCAGTCATTCTTTTATTATTGACAATAATACACTTTTGCAAGTACCTATAAATGTGGAAAATGAAGCAGTATATTGGGTATTCTATGATAGTGGCAGCTCCTATTGTTAGCTATGTGAATGGCCATTAGCACTATCGGAGCGTAAAAGTTCAGGGACAGATCGGACCACAGCCGAAGCATGCTGCATAGACGATCAGCGCTGGAGCGGGCAGCGAACGGGTTAACATTAACCCTTTGCTGCACACGCTCCACCCCGAGGTATTTGCGTCACTGGGAGGTTCCTGTGGCTGCTGGGTGACACCTATAGCAGCGCTGTGCTGTTTCAGTCTATCTTTGCAAGCGCAGGGAGAACACCGACTGGGCTTCCCAGGATCATCATCATCATCATCATTGCATCCGCTCAGCTGTCATTTCATAGTAGAGACACAGCAAGGTGCAAAGCAGTGAAGAAGTCTTCCTTCCAGCATTGCTGTCCCCATTCATTGTCAAGCTGCTGCAGAACTAGAAGAGTGAGGGAATCCCCAGCGGACGGCAGTGACTGGGAAGTAGCAGGTGCACAGGGAGCTGCATTCCACACACCATGCTTCTACAAACTTGAGGACCAGAGCTCAGCGCTGGCACCAGCATTCAACCTTCATCCAAGAGGAGAGGAGCTGATCTTTCCGAGATGTCAGACCCAGCGCTGGACTTCTCCAAAGTGGAAAGTTTTTTGGACAGCCATCCCGACCTGTTTGAGGATTACCTGATCAGAAAAGGCAAGCACCACATGGTGGAGAAGTGGCTGAAGAGGAACCAGCTAACCAAGACGCCCAGCTCCAGCACTGATGAGAAGAACAAGGACTCTTGGGGCACTCGAGGGGAAGGGTTGCAGAGGAGAGCATCCCAAAAGGAGCTGAGGAAAAGTTTTGCCAGGTCCAAGGCCATTAATATCAATAGGACCTATGATGAGCATGTCAACTCCAGAGCCCAGGAGCCCTTGACCAGCATGAGGAGAAGAGCATTGCTCAGAAAGGCTAGTTCTCTTCCACCCTCCACTGCTCACATCCTCAGCGCACTGTTGGAATCCAGGGTCAACATACCCCAATACCCATCCACTGCCATTGACTACAAGTACTACCTGAAGGAGAACAATGAGAGGGAGTTCTTCTTGGAGTTAGTGAAGGACATATCCAACGAACTTAACCTCAGCAGTCTTTGCTATAAGATCTTGATCTTTGTGTGCATCATGGTGGACGCTGACCGGTGCTCTTTGTTCTTGGTTGAAGGGACTGCCAACAAGAAGAGTTTGGTCTCAAAGTTCTTTGATGTGCATGCAGGGACCACTCTGCTGCCTTCCTACAGAATGGATAACTCCAATGAAGTCCAGGTGCCCTGGGGAAAGGGAATCATCGGTTATGTTGCTGAGCATGGAGAGACAGTCAATATCCCAGATGCTTACCAGGTAGGTCAATTTTCCGCACTTGATGCGTT